TATGTAGGGCTATCTTTCGGCTATGCTCCTGCAGAGTGCAGGGGGTTGGACTAGATGACCTGCACGGTCCCTTCCAACTCTAACATTCTATGATTCTATGATCTTTCTGTCACTATCTCTCCCTAAACACGGTAACTCTGCAGAAGTCCGGGCAGCACGCTCCAGTCGAAAGCACAGATGTAACTGGCAGGGCTTTCTTTTGTCAAAACCGGGCGAACTTTCTCCAGAATGCCAGCTGCAGCAAGGAAAGGAAAGGAGGCCCTTTGCTAAAAATGAACTCGATGACATCTGAAAACTGTTAACAAAGAAAGGCAGAGAAACCTAAAGGACAAAAGACTTGTCTTTGGAAGGGCATATTGATTCAGGGGAAACACTAGTGCAGTCTCCACTCCCAAAGCTTGTTATTGGTGCAGGGACCGGAACGCTGCAGTGAAATTAAATGGAACCATGTTGACTCAAAGTCAAATTTGCAAGAGAATGACTGCAAGGCTACGTTTATGAACCTTTAGAGTCAGTTTGGTGTAGTGGTTACGTGCGCAAACTCTATTCTGGGAGAACCGGGTTTGATTCCCCACTCCGCCACTTGCGCCTGCTGGATGACCTTGGGCAAGCCATAGTTCTGTCAGAGCTGTTCTTGGAAAAGAGCAGTTTCTGTCAGAGCTCTCTCAGCCCCACCTACCTCACAGGGTGCCTGTTGTGGAGAGGGGAAGGGAAAGGAGTTTGTAAGCCGCTCTACTCCCTTGGGTAGTGAAGGGCGGGGTATAAATCCATCCTCCTCCTCCTCCTCTTCTTCTTCCTCCTGGTCTTGTAGGGTCTGGCGATCTCCCAGAATTACAGCCACTCTCCAGATGACAGAGATCAGTTCCCCTGGATGAAATGCCTGCTTTGGAGGGTGGACTCTATGGCATTATATCCAGGTGAGGTCCTTGCCCTTCACAAATCCTGCCATCCCTAGACTTCACCCCAAATCTCCAGGAATTTCCCAACCTGGAGTTGGCAACCATATGGGAGGTTCAAGTTAAAAAAAATGAAGGCAGCACACAAGTAGCTCCAAGCTGCGTTCAAAAGAACCAGTCATCTGGAACCTAATGACGTTGGGAGCTATAAAACCTGTCACACAGCGACAATCAATTTTCCAAACTGCACTGCTGCCTGGGAGGAAACTGGGCAGTGCAACAGAGACAGAAGGGGGAATGCCACAGAGTCAGGAGCACCCTGAATTCAATGACCCCGAGGAATGAACTGTACCACTCCTTGCTTCGTTGAAGGGGGGACAAAGAGGTGGGCAGAGGACTTAACGCCATCAGGAGCCCCTGACTCTCACACCCTCTTCCAGAGACTGCGCTAAGCAAAGACCCACTTAAGAGAACATAAGAGAAGCCATCCAGTCCAACACTCTGCACCACACAGTGGCCAAAACCCAGGTGTCATCAGGAGGTCCACCAGTGGGGCCGGAACTCCAGAAGTCCTCCCACTGTTGCCTCCCCCAGCACCCAAGAATACAGAGCATCACTGCCCCAGACACAAGAACATAAGAGAAGCCATGCTGGATCAGGCAGGTGTCACACAGTGGCCAAAAACCAGGTGTCATCAGGAGGTCCACCAGTGGGGTCGGAACTCCAGAAGCCTTCCCACTGTTGCCTCCCCCAGCACCCAAGAATACAGAGCATGACTGCCCCAGACAGAGTGTTCCATTCTTGTTGTTGTTCAGTCGCACAGTCTAGTTCGACTCTTCGCGACCCCATGGACCAGATTCACGCCAGGCCTTCCTGTCTTCCGCCGTCCTCTGAAGTTGGCTCAATTTCATGTTCGTTGCATCTATGACACTGTCTAACCATCTCATCCTTTGCCATCCCC